ACAACATGGTCAGGAACTTTCGCCAGGCCGTGGACATGATCCAGAACCAGGGCTATTCTCTCGCGATGGTCAGTCTCTTTCCTATCTCGTGGCTTCCATTACAACGGTGACTGTGAAAACAAACACGAAACATTCAGCAAATAAACAAATACATAAATAGATATAATGAAGATAAATAACCAAAAATAACCAGTAAACTTCTCCACAGGTCTACGACGGCATTATAGACACCCAAGGCCACTACTTCGGTCCTGTGTCGTCGGAGGTCGCAGCGGCAGTCAGGGAAACGGACACCGCTCTGCAGCAGCTCTGGAAGGACCTTTCCGATCGAGACATGATAGACGAAGTTAGCTTGTAGTTGTTCTTAGCGGGTTGTTTTTATTTCATTTAGCTTTCTAATACTTTTTTTTAGCGTTTTCTTTATTTTGTTAATTTTATTGTTGTTATTATTAATGACGACGTTGTCATTATCGTTGTTATACTCATGATTATTATGATTAACAACAGTAGAAGCAATCGTATGATAATAATAACAATTATAATAATGATAATAGTAATAACAATAATGATAATAATGATAATCATTATCATTATTATTACTGTTATTATTATTATTATCATCATCATCATCATCATCATCATCATCATCATCATCATCATCATCATCATCATCATCATCATTATTATCATCATTATTATCATTATTATTATTATTATTATTATTATTATTATTATTATCATTATTATCATTATTGTTATTGTTATTGTTATTGTTATTGTTATTATTATTGTTATTATTATTATTATTATTATTATTGTTTTTATTATTATCATTATCATTATCATTATTGTTGTTATTATTATTATCATTATTATTATCATTATTGTTATTATTACTATTATTATTATTATTATTATTGTTATTATTATTATCATTGCCATTATATTAGCGTGATTATCATCATCATCGTCGACATAGTCATCTTTATAATCGCCATCGTCATCGTCATCATCAGCATCATCATCATCATAATCATCATGCTCATCCTCATCATCACCATCAACATCATCATCATCATCCTTGTCATTATCATGCTCATCCTTATCCCCCTCCTCCTCCCCCTCGTCCTCTTCCTCATCCTCGTCCTCATCCTTATGCTCGTCCTCATAATCATAATGCTCATCATCATCACCATCATCATCATCATCACCATCTTCATCACCATCATCATCACCATCATCACCATCTTCATCACCATCATCATCATACTCACCATCACCATCAACATACAATATCACACTCCCCAAAACCAATATCTTTTATTCCCTACAACACTAGAGCCTGAACCCGCACACGGGACCCAGCCGCACACAGTTCAAACACCAAAAGCATTCCAGGTTAACGTGGTGTTAGTCAGCGATCACGGCATGACTTGGACGGGGCAGCGGATGTTGCAGGAGCTGGATGTGGTTGCCTGTCTGGATGAGTCTCAGGTGGTTAAGGTGGTTGAGTATGGTGGATACATCAGCATCCAACCACGAGCTGGCTATGCTGAGGAGGTAATATATATAGGTATACTTTTTTTGAGGTCAATACGTTTATTCGTTTATTTTTTGTGTAGTGGTAATTCTGATAAAGATGGTGGATTCCTTTGTTTTTATTGTTATTTGCAATGGTTATCATTAGTATCATTGTTTTTATCAGTATTAGTTGTAATGTCGCCATTGTAATTATTGAATTATTGAATTTTGTATTATTGTTGATGTTACCGTGATTGCTATTATCACTTTAGCAATATCATTTCTTATTAAGACTGTCATTGTTGATGTTAACTATTATTGCAAACATCGTTACTGTGATTGCCTTTGTTAATAGTATAGTTTACATAAGTAACAGCACTGTCATCGTTAGTATACAATTGATATCATCAGGGAACTAAATATCCATTACATAAGATATCTCTCAACACAAAGACTGAAAGCGTTGTCATTATAAATGCTTCAACTGTGTTCCCTGAATACGACGCCCATTCACACGCAGCAGGAATGGAGAGCTGGTGTTCGGGCTGTTGTGTGTGTTTGTGTGTATATATGTATGTATGTATGTATGTATATATGTGTGTGTGTGTGTGTGTGTGTGTGTGTGTGTGTGTGTGTGTGTGTGTGTGTGTGTGTGTGTGTGTGTGTGTGTGTGTGTGTGTGTCTGTGTGCGTGTGTACTTAGATAGATAGATAGATAGATAAGCTAAACATTAAAGTCTTTTTGATAGTTAATAATACTTTACACCAAGTAAAAATGTATATTGACTCAATACGAACAGAAACATTTCTGTCCCAGCTCCCAACCAGGGTGCCCTTGCGGAATGGCTGACTGCCGCCTTATTTAGGACTCTTCATTTCAGAGAATCCCTGAGCAGTTCCAATTCCGCTTTCATAAAGCAATTTGTACGCATCAGTTTGTTAGGATTATGAAATAGTAAATATTTAGATTACATTTCTATTCGTAGTGCGAAGAGCATGTATACTCGTCTTTCCAAATACAGCCTCTAGCGGAGTGCAGTGTTTAATCAACGCCCAGTTTTAGTGAACAGTGCGTTGCATCCCCGATAACATTGCAGGCCATTAGTGCACTCGACTACCTAAGCTTTGTGAAAAAAAAATGTTTTGCACTTTTGATATTCGTTTCCACCCCGTAGACTCTGAAATTATGTCATTTTTCTCATTGAACAGGTGACGGAGAGCTTGCGCAGGTGTCCGACCGTGGGCGAAAACGTGAACGTGTTCCTCAAGGAAGATGTCCCTGAGGCTTTCCACTACAGGGCACATCGCCTCATACTGGAAATTGTCGTTATTGCGAAGGAGGGTAAGCGATGGGCAAAGTACTGTGCGGTTGAAGGTCCAGATACGAAGTCTCGGCCGTATTCACAGTCTTTGCGTTTCGAGTAAGATAGTGTCAAATCCGGTTATCGGAATATTAAACGTTATTTGCAGCGGTCGTATTCACAGTCGCTCTCAAGGCCTTTAATCGTCGGGAAAAGTTCAGGGTTGCCAACATTAGCATATTCTATTTTCCATTACGATCAAATCAACCAGGATTGTATATTCCTTATTTCCAGACTCGTGACAACTCTCCTGCCTCAGTGTGTTTACTCATCCAGCCTTAATCTAATTGAATTATGCTTCTTTAGAAAGGCTTGAGTGATGTCGAAATTTCACCGCCAGGGGTTGGTTACAAACTTAAAATCGCCTTGAATAGATAGATTGATATATATATATATATATATATATATATATATATATATATATATATATATATATATATATATATATATGTATATATATAATATACATATATATATATATATATATATATATATATATATATATATATATATATATATATATATATTATATATATATATATATATATATATATATATATATATATATATATATATATATATATATATATATATATATATATATATATATATATATATATATATATATATATATATATATATATATATATATATATATATATATATAATATATATATATAATATATATACGTATTCATTTAAATATATATACATGTATATATATTGCATATGCCTATATTCATACACAGGCCTACATATACACATATATGTTGTTAAGCCCAAGCGTCAACAGGACGACCCACTAACCTCAGCCCCGCTATGGGTCCGAGTGTGCACGTGGAGGCGAGCGCTCTCAATTCCCTCTTCATTTCACTGCCAGGCAAACACTGTGCAATTTACTAAGGTTTATTAATGAACTAGAAACAATAGCATATCAAAGGGCAACGGAACACGGGGTAAAAAGACAGTTAATCACTGCAGGCAGGAAAACGAAATCTAAAAAAGGGAAACGAGACCCTCCCCCCCCTCCACACCTCGAAATTTCCCGCGAAACAGACAGACACATTCATGAGCATGTAAAAATCTTGACATACATATAGGCTTATATGAGGAAAATAAATGTTCTTCATAATTATAATTGCTGGAATGAGAATCAGTGATACAGGTTAATTACTGTAATTTCTGAATTCAGACCTCCCGAAACCTTCCCCGAATAATGTACAATTAGGGAAAGATAGTCGGAAGCTTTAAGAATACCAAGTTGTTATTAACAGACCCGAAAGTTGTATCAAAACTACTGAGAATACGACTGCAAAGTGGTTCCTAATATCCTTATGCCGGCTAACTTTCTACGAAAAGGATTAATCATAGAACTTAATGGGACATATATAAAGTGCGATTGCTGATATAGCGTTCTATAGAAAGGATGATCTATAAGTAAGACAAGAATATCTTAAGAGTTGTATATTCCAGATACCATTCTTCGTTTGTACCTTTACTTACCTAAGTCTCTGATAATGAATATGAATAAATGTAATAACAGACTGATTTGAAAACTAAACAACTCTCCGCTCCACCTTTCCCAGGGTACATGATCCGGCCGCCCCAGACCACCTACTCAGTGCCCGAGACCGCGGGATCCTACGAAGGGAATCACGGCTTCGACAACACCAATGGCCGCAACCCTGACATGCGCGCTGTACTCTACGCTGTCGGTCCATGTGAGGAAAAAAACGTCATTTTGCTCATATCTTTTTTTGCTTTACTCTGTTGCTTCCTTCCGCATGCGTATTTTACATCACAAAAAAATTGTTTTGTTATTACATTACATGGATGAAATTCGTTTATGAAATACTAAAAGAAAAGTGACTGACGCTTTGACACGAAACTCTCCACAGACTTTGCTCAGGGAGTCCGAGCCGGCGTGGTGGAGCAGGTTGACGTGTACAACCTGCTGTGCCGAAGCCTCCAGCTCCAGTGCCACGCCAACAATGGCACCTTGGCCCACGTGGAGCCGTTCTTCCGACCTGGAATCCCCCTGGAGAGCGGCACTTCCTTCAAGCACATGGGAACTCTGGGCGCTCTGATGCTCGCTGTTTCCGCGCTGATCTTCCTTTGA